TGAGAAAAAGTTTGAACGTAAAAATCCAAAGTGGAAAAATGGTTTGATTAAGGTTAATAAATTTTAGTCTTTCAAAAGATGTCAAAGTATGATTAAGTTGATTAATGTTTGATTAAGAAAATATTTTTAAAAATGCATGGACGTAAATCTAATTTTATTATGAAAGCAGTTCGAGTTAGAAAACAAGAAGAGTTTTGAAAAGGAGGGAGAAGATTTTTGAAATTAAAGATGATAGGAGGAGATGAAACGACTATCCTAAAGCATAAAATAAAAGCTAAGGAAAAGAACCATCTAACTAACAAGAAGCACACACTTGACATATAGAAGTCAACGTAGAATTCTCATCCTTTGAGTTGAAACCAAGCAAGCAAAAAAAAAACTAAACCTCTAAGGAATACCAAGCTTCAGATGAATTAAGTCTTCTCAAAAAAATTGGGCAGAGTAACGGCTGTATACTAAGGAACTCTCAATCACAGGATTTCAAAAATCATCAACATCTTTCGTCCATTTTATTGGATTTGGTTTCTCAACCTATCAACACCCAAGATCCAATGAGGTTGAGGAACTTGTCCCAAAAAAAACACTCAAGTGTCTCCAAATCAGAACCAATCAAAAAAACAATAAAAAATATATTTAATATAAAACAAAACTTAAATGATTTAAAAAGGAAATAATTGGTAAAATACAAAACAAGTATTAAAACACAAAATAAAAATCCTAAAAAAATATCAGAATTCAAACATGAGTCAACAAGTGTTGACAAAATTTTTCAGAATTTTTAAATTCAAAAACTATTTTTAAAATTTAAAGAAATAAGAAAAATAAACTTTAATTTGTGAAAAATAGTAAATCAAAAATAAAAATAAAATGAAGTCACCAATATTTGTCAAGAGGTCATTAGATCCTTCCATATTTTTTTCAAAATTTGAAAATCAAGAAAAGTATTTTTAAACAATTAAAACAAATCAAATAAAGTGAAAAATCATTAAAAAAACAAATCACAAAATAAAATTGTGAAAAGATAAAAATCATAAAGAGAAAAATCAAAAGTATGTTTGAGAATTTTTTCATAATTTTAGAAGTTGAAATGATTTTTTTATGAATTTTTGAAGTTTAAAACAATTAAATCAAATAATCAGAAAATAAAAATAAAACAAAAATAATGTGGACCATCTGATTATTGTCAAAATGTGTTAGTAATCAGATCCAAGGGATCTGGCGCACTGGGCATGTTATGGTTCCTAGCAAAAAAAATAAAGGATCAAATAAATTTGGGTCAATCAAAATAAAACAATTGGCGCGCTCTAATTGGTTGAGACGAAACATGTCATTGTCTTCAACCTCTGGCCTTCAAAAAACCACAGAATTCGAGATTCTTCAAATGGAAAATTAGAGGTTCAGACCGGTACCGATGGATTTGTCTCTTCAAGACGATCACAACTGTGCCCTCGCGAAAAATTTCTTTAAACCATAGCTCAATCGATTTGCAAAAAACCAGAAGAAAAAGTGACAACATGTTTTGAAAATAAATGATCAATTCTCAATGAAATCACAAACCAGAATAAGCATGAGCTTCAGAGAATAAGAGGCTACAACTTAGTAACTTATTTGAAGCAAAATGATAGAGAATTCTACCTAAACTAAGTGCAAGAAGTTTGCTCTGAAACTGAGCTTCTGTAACTCAATTTTATGCATAATTCTTATCACTTAGGATCAAGTTAACTTCAATGATTTCCAAGGAAGATAATTGAATGGAAGTTTTTGTGAATTAAGGCGAGGGAATGAAAAACCATAAATCAAACTCAAGAGTTCGTGTGGGATCTTGGCAAAGTTTTTTTGGCTATTCAAGCTTGTCAAAATGAGTAAGGGATAATCCTTATTTATAGTTGAACATGATGTAAGGGTCAAGCATGCGAATTGGATGAAAAATCAATGAAATCATGTGACCCTGCTAAGTGGAAAAAGTGTGACTTGAACTTGTTCAAAACTCAACTTATTCTTGCATTTCATTGCTCTAATCATGCTTTAGAACTTTTTTAAACATGTTTAAGTGGAAAACATGCACAAAATTGATCATTATAAGCCACATTTTGGAAATTGCAATCTGACTGCAAGTGAAACTTCAGCTCTAAGGAACCAACTTGGAATCCATGGTGCACATTGCTCAGTAGGCTTTATCACAATATTCTTGAAGCATTTGAAAGACAATGTCGCAATCTTTACAATGTGCCAAGAAAGAATCCATTTGGATAATTGAGCTGGAAGTTATGTCCTTTTGAAATCGTGAAAAACAAACTGATTTTTGAACTTGGACATATTTCTAAGTGTTGAACTTCAAAATCACCTACAATGTTCTTCAAAATTACATGACATTCCACTCAAAATTTGATATAGATTTATGAAGATAACATGAAGTAGACCTCTTGAATTGAATTTTGGAATTAAGACCACTCAAAAATAATAAAAATTGAAAGATTTATGGTCTTTAAAAGATGATGAACAAATTTGGGAAGATTCACAAAAGACTTGTGATCTTTTCAATTCTTCAACAACTTTCCAAGCATTTTCAAGTCTTGCATATTAAGACAAAGTTGTAATAGACATCCCAAATATTATTGTGGAAAAAGAATTGCCCCAAGGAGATAAAAATTGACCAAGTTATGATCATTTGAAATCAAACCCTAAGATTTAAAAGCCTTTCAAAGAGACTTTTAATTTTTCTCAACCATTAGTGATCTTCCATTCAAAATTAGCCTTAGATCCCTGAAGAAAACTTGTTAATGACCCTTTAAAGAGAATCATGGCTTTGAAGTCAATCAAAAATCTCAAAAAATGAGCAAGATATGGTCCTTGAAAGTCAACAAACCCTAGCTCAAAGAGTATTAAAATGACTTGAAACCCCTTTCAACTTTTGATAATTTTTCTTGCACAATTGGATCTTGTCATGTGAAGAAAAGTTGTAGTAGATGATGATAAGAATCCATAAAAAAAAGAACCAGCATAAAATGTTGAAAATTTGGAGAGTTATGAACTTGCTCAATTAGGTCAAACTTGTTGAATCAACTTTGAATCATTTTAAACTTTATTGGAAAAACAAAACATGATGAATCACAATAGGCCTTAAAATGATGTTGTCTTGAAGCACACTCAAAGATGGAGCTTAAGTCTCAAAGAAACTTGTTGAAGAAGGCATGGAAATAATCACATGAACCTATGAATCTTCATGATGAATGACACCACCAACTTTGAGGAAATGTTGTTGACCTAAATAAAGTGAAAGAATTCTTTGAACCAGAAACCTTAGATGTCATAGACATAGATTTGAAGCTTAAGCTCTTGCAATCCATTATAGAACCATTTGACTGAGGACCATCCCTCAAACCCTAGGTTAGATGGTGAATGTAATTGTGATCACCTACAATATTAACATTAAAAGAAACATATATACATATGTTTATGTTAGTTAAAAGAACACATGTACAAGATACACAATTCAAGGTGTTTGGTGATCCCTCAAGAGCAAACTTAAAGATAGGATAAAGTAGAAAGAGAGAACCGACCCTAATGTGTGATCTTGATGTATTTATGATATGAGGTGATAAGGGATCTTAGAGGCAAAAATTGGGATATAACACAATCCATAAAAGCCTAGCATGGTGCGTGAAAAAGATAAAAGATATTCAAGTGGTACCAAATGTAGAAGGTTTGTTTCCTCATTCAAATTAAGCTTCAATAATTTCATGTCACAAAATTCGCATCAACATTCGACTACAAAGCTTGCAAACCACACTAACATTCAATGAATATAAAGCCTACTTTTATCAAGTTTATGAGACCTTTTAGGAACATAAGCACAAGAAATCAATTAATCAAGAAATTAAGGATCAAAAATTACCATTAAATCATTCATCATGCCAAATAAATTGAATCAATTGGGAAGAATCAATAAGAACACGTTAAAATCCTAGTTCTAAATATATTCAAACATCAATTCAATTAAATCTTATACTAATAGAAAAATCATTTAAAAAAACAAGTCAGGAATCAACACTTCAATATATACACAAAAAATCAGTCAAAAATTAGGATATAAACATCAAGGATTAATTGCAAAAATTCAAAGAAACAAAGTGAAGTGAAGAGAAAAGTTAGGAAGTGTAAGCATGATCTAGGGGTATGAATTAAGATTTCCAACGGTAGGCCCAGTCCAGATTCCATGTGACCAGATATTTTTATGTATCTTGAGGGAAATATTTGTGAGGCCCCACTCTACCTAGTGTTATCAAGAACGAGATGAAAGTAACTGATTCATGCCTACCTCATGGCGGAGATGGAGAAGAAATTGCTCTTACAAAAGTCTCAATGTACAAGTATATAATGTTTCTACTTTTGCGAGTTTCGATGTTGTTATTTAGATTGCACTGCTTATGATTAAATCATCATATTGCAAATCATCAGTTGATGAAGATCTTGTTGAAGATTCAAACTCTGGAAGAAAGTATAGATAAACTCAGCGAGTTCTTGAGATTTTTGGTGAGTTTTCTTGTGTGAACTTTGTGATTGAACCTTGCGTACTTTTTCTCTGTGAATAATCATTTCTGAGATTTTGTGAATGATTCCCTCTGATGCAGATGAATGAGAAATTTTGTTATGTAGTATGTTAAATCTGTGAAAGTTAGTTAGAGTTAGGTCAAACCTGAGCCTTTGATTGAAAATTGGTTAGAGAATATAGAAGGTGAGGATTAGAGTTGGTTTTGCTTGAAAATCATGTTATATGTTAAATCGCAGTCTCTTTTCTTCTGATATTTCTAACTTAATAATTCTTAGCTCTGAATTGTTTTCCACAGTTTTCCTTGTTTTTTTAATTTTTCTGATATGCATATCTCCTCCTTTTCTATTGAACTGAGACATGAGTTGAATATTTGTACAGAGCTTTTGTGGATAATTGTTTTTGTGACTATTGCAGGTTTTGAAGCATTGGCGATAAAGAAACTTGGCTCATGAAGATGAACTTAGGTTTAAAACATAGAAGTCTTAATGTATTTCTCTTTGTAGTTTTTGGTGTATTGGTGAATATGATTCAAAATTTTAACTTTAATTATTTGAAAATGTTAATGCACAACACTTTTTCTCCCATTTGGACTTTGAAATCCCAAGTATTTTCCTTTATTTTCAATGTTGTAATGGAAATGTTGTACTATTTTGTAATGGTAATGTGGATCTTTGTATGTAAGTTTAAAACCTCTTGAATTCAATGATAATTTCCAGAAGTATTCAAAGTCTTCATCTTTCTTGTTTCAAACTGAATTGTGCCGATAGCATGGTGGTGTGATGAAATTTGTAGCATGATACTTTTGTGAATCCTTTGAAATCTATTGGATCCAATATCAATTTTCTCAAGTACCCAAAGTATGCACTTTTCTCTTTCAAATTGAATTTGGACTCGAATACTCTTTCAATAGTGTGAATGTTAAGCATAATTATAAAATGAACTGAATAATCCCTTACTCATGTAATGACAATCACTCCATAGTTAAGAATGAACCGGAGTTTCTAGGGAATTGTCTAAAACCATTATAAAATGACTTCCAAATGCTCCTCTTATTATGTATAGCAATATGGATAACCATGCTTGAGTTGAAAATAGACGCCCCCAATAATCAGATCAAGAGAGCACCATTTCATATTAGCTTGTATTTGAAGTAATCTTGTCATAGAATACCTTGGCTTGATGTACCAAAAGACAAACTAGTCCAATACTTGCACAAACCGTGATTCCTTCCTTATAACTCAAAATGAGATCTTGAGTTGAACACCTTGAAAATATATAATCAGAGAATTTTGTGCTACATTGCCTTGTAGTCCAATTAACCAACTTAATCACACCTTGGATGATAGTGAGCCACGTGAACTCACATACCATAAGCAACTCATGTCTGGATTTAAGATACCTGAATAAAATCCAATGAGGATAGCTTGTACCACAAGAAAATTAACTGATTAACAAGGAGCTTTGCATCAAAGTGTAAACAAACTCTGATTTGGGGAACCACATGGATGAAATATTGTGATCCATCTTCAAGCTATGAAAATCTGATCTCTTGATGATCTTTGAGGAATTTGAAAAGATAGAACACCATGTGTCTTGATGAGAATGATCTTGAGGACTGATCTTCAAACCGATATTGATTGATCAATGCATCTTCTTCTTGTAGGAGAAAACCCTAATTCACTGATGAACTTGATCCCACAGTACAAGAACCAATATCATGCATGTATGAATGACAATGACGCATATGAGCTACTTAGGGTTAAAATTAATAGGGCAAATTTTGGGGTGCAACACTTAGTATACATTATAGTTGTATATAAATAGACATATTGTAAATCAGTTTTAATTAATTCAATAATATTAATCCTTATTTTCTTATTCTCTCTCTTTCTCCCCTCACTAAAAGTGTCACATGCACAAACATAAGGAAGATAAATAAAGTATAACAAATTATGTGTTAGTATCTAACGATTATTACTATTTCGTTTACATACTAAAAAAACAAGAATGTTTGATTTAATTTTGTAAAATTTATTTTTAGTTTTTAAAATTTGAAAGTAATAAAACTAAAGTAAGATTATCAAACATATTTTATTTTATTTTTTCTTCAAAACTATATTTTAAAGTAAATTTTATAAAATTACTTTCAAAAACTAAACTAAAACTCACTCAAACAAGCCCCTAATTTTTTTTGTTTTTTTTTAAATGTAAAACTGTGATATGAGAGATGGAACTTTTAAGGAATAGCTTCAAGAATACTTAAAGTGTAAAATACAGAATAAAGTGATCATATTTTTGGTGACCCAAACTTATTTTGTAAAACTTTTGTAAAATACACCTTCTCTTGACTTAATGTTCCTATCTTTGGTGACCCAAATTTATTAGGTTAAACTTTTGTATTAATATCTCAAAACTCATATGTATAAGTGTGTGAAGTCTAAATATGACTACACTTACACAACTTTTCCTATACGTCGTGTGTCACTAAGAATTTCACAGCTACATTCCTAGTTTGTATGTGATGCGCGACATGGGGTAGTAACTTCAAAGTTTGAGTGAAACTTCACTATTAGATGTTTTGCATTATGTCAAAACTAGGAAAACTTAGCATTTATGTATATTTTACGGTATCTATGTATCGTTTGGTTCACCCTTGCATTAGAGGTCTTAGGAAGCATTCATAATAAGTTTAAAATTGATCTAAATCATGAAAAAAAATAAGTTTTTGCATAAAAACAACATTTTTGCTTTAAAACTACAGTACATGTGCCGCGTGGAATTCCTATGAGCCGACACATGTACTGCATTATTATAGTCTGCAGTACATCAGCATTTTTGCTTTAAAACTATAGTACATCAGCATTTCCACCAAAGTGATTTTGTCTCTCTCATTCTAAGTCTTAATCCACTAATCACAAATGATTACAATTCACGAAGACAACTGTCAACGTCTTATTGAGATCAAATTACAACTTGGTTTCTCAAGGAAATATAACTGAAAATAATTATACAATGTGTTTGAGTTTGCTTCTAACAAGCTTTATCACAACTGTGATGTTTACACAAATTTTAGCACAAATACTATTTTTAATAGATAGAAAGATGTGAGAAATTTTGAGCAATTGTTCGTATGCGTGTATATTTTTCATCTTTGATAGACCTCTTTATACAGGCAAATTCATGAGACCGTTGGAGACATAATATTCTGATTTTGGAAGGTTGTTGATTTGAGGTTTGATTTTCTTTAAAATACAGATCTTTTCCAACCATAAAGTTTCCAGTAGTTACTTTATAAATTTAATTAATGTGATATCAGATTTATGTTGTTTCAGAGTATCTTAAGATAATTTCTTGTAATCAGAACTTTAATCATAATATTTATGTTTGAAGCTTCTTTGTTCTTTCGGAACTTTATATATCTGAGTATAACCTGCAGCTTGGTGCTTCCGAAGTTTGACTGCCAGCATCAGAACTTCTCTTTCTTGCATGTTGTTTTAGCTTCTCTTTAGAGCTTCTTATATTTTCTTCTCCTTTAGAGCTTCATATGTGATTTTTCACGTCATTAAATTTCTTTCTTTCATCAGAACTTCTCTGTAAACTCAATCAAATAATTAGAGTGCATAATTGTTCTTTACAATAATTATGTATTTGTTATCATCAAAACTAATAATTGGATGTAGAACCAAACTATGTTCTAACATAAATTGGATCAAGCGCATACCACTAGGCCAAAAGAAATTGCTAGTAGCCAAGGTGCTACTCTATTTCCTTATAGCGAATCCAACAAGGGGCCTACCTGGCCCACCTAACACACCTGTGTAGGTTCCCATGGGGGGATGTTAAGCCCTTCGAGTCCCTAAGGTTGACGCTGGATATTTTAATCCAACAATATCCCCCCCAGTGTCACCCGGGGGGATTCAAACCCATGACCTTGCTCTGATACCATGTAAACTGGATCAAGCTCATACCACTAGGCCAAAAGCAATTGCCAGTAGCCAATGTGCTACTCTATTTCCTTATAGAAAATCCAACAAGGGGCCTACCTGGTCCACCTAACACACTTGTGTAAGCGCCCATGGGGGGATGTTAAACCCTTCAAATCCATAAGGTTGACGCTGGATATTTTAATCTAAAAATGGCATCAAAGTCCTATGGTATGAGGATTCTCTTAATTTCATTTTGTCAAGATTGTCTCAAAGTTGGTGGTTGAACTCATCAAGAAACTTTATAGGTTCATGTGTTTATTTCTATGCCTTCTTTAACAAATTTCATCAAGCATTGAGCTTCTACATCAAGTGTGCTTCAATATAAAATCATTTCAAGGTCTAATGTGATCCATCATGCCTTAATTTGCAAGAAAAGATTAAAAGATTCAAAGTTTATCTAAGTGGTTTGACCTAATTTGGCAAGTCCTCAACTCTAAGGTCACAAGTGCATAACTCTCTTAATTTTCAATATTACGAAGTGGTTCTTTTTGCCATGGACTCTTCTCATCCTTACCAAAAACTTCTCTTTACATGACAAGATCCAATTTTTCAAAGAAATCATCAAAAGTTTAAGAATGTAACAAGTCACTTTTGTAATTTTTGAGTAAGGGTTTGTCAACTTCCCAAGACCATATCTTGCTCAATTTTTGAGATTTTGAAGTTATTCCAAAGCCATGATTTTTTTCAAAGAGTCCTTAACAACTTCTCTTCAAGGATCTAACGCCAATTTTGAGTAGAAGATCATTTAAGTTTGAAGAAGATTTAAAGTCCTTTGGAAAAGCCATTGAACTCTTTGATTTGACTTCCAAAGATTATAACTTGGTCGATTCTTACCTCCTTGAGCTCATTCTTTTTTCATAATAAACTTGAGTATGTATACTACAACTTTGAATCAAAGATTAAGATCTCAAAATGTGTGACAAGTTGTGGAATTCAATGAAACATTATAGGTTATTTGTGGATTTATCAAGAAATTTGCATCCTCTTTCAAGAACCATAACTCTCTCATTGTTTATGATTTTTAAGTGATTCTAATTCCATAGTCCCATTCAAGGAGTCTACTTCATTTCATCTTCAATGATCAAGAGCTAATTTTGGGGGGAAGGCCATGTAAGTTTGAGGAACATTATAGGTCACTAAGAAGCTTCATACTTAGAATTTTTCTCTGTGTAAAAAAAAATTGGTTTTTCCTGATTTCAAAATGACACAACTTTCAGCTCAAATGTCCAAATGAAATATTTCTTGGCACATTGTAAACTATGTGATGATGTCTTCCAAATGTGACAAGAATGAGACCATAAGTTCTCATGAGTAAGATTTCCCAAGGATTTAAAGATGGCACCTTGAAACAGAAGCTTCTCACCAAGTCAGATTGCAATTTTATTAGTGTGCTTTCTAATGACCAAATTGACGCGTGATTTTTATCTTAACATGTTTAACAAAATTGTCTGAACATGTTTAAGCCTTGAAACACAACAGTTAAGTGAGTTTTGATGAATCAGAAGTCACATGTTTCTCACCTTTAAGCTTCATGTGAATTCACTCATTCTTGATCCTTCTTGCACGTATGAGCTTATGAATAATTTTCCTATAAATAGAGCATCATACTCTATTCATTTCCTCAAGGTTGGATAGCCAAAATCACCCTGCCAAAGGCATACTCGAAGCTTGAAATTTTAAAATCCATTTCAACATTTCAAGCCTTCTTTCA